TATGACATTTGAAGACTTGTCCCTGCATGTTCAGGGCTCTGTTTAGGTTCGAATCTGAAGTCATCAGTGCCCTGTCTGGTTAAGAGGGTGTTACCCAGGGGTTTCAGAACCCAAAACAGTGGTGACTTAACTGCTTCACTCCAGACGGTGTCCGGAATAAATCAGTGGGAACACAGCGCTTCCGGCTGATGAAAGATTGATACAAGTAAGCGTGCTTTTATGAAGGTTTTGAAAAGCCAAGGGGACTCCACCCCACTGAATTGTTTTTTGTTTTCACTGCTCCTCATCTGTTTTGAGGTCCAGCTAGAAAAGGAAGCGGAAGAGCTGAAATCTCACCAGAATGGCTGCCGCGCCATATTGGCAGGTGGCCTGTGGTCAGGAAGTGCCAGCACTGCGGTGAAACTGCCCCTTCTTAGGTTATGTTTACACCGCAAACCCGCCTCTCCCACGGAGCAAGTCTTAGAGTCTGGGTGAAGTTACTCGGGCTCACGGTACAGGGCTAAAGACAGCAGTGTAGCCATTTCTCCTCGGGCTGGAACCTGGGCTCTGAAAGCTGGTGAACGGGGAAGGCCCGGAGCCCGGACTTCACCCTGAGCGGGAACATCTTCACTTCTCTTTTGTGTGCCGCAGCCTGAATCCCGCGAGCCGGAGTCAATTGACCTGGGCTCTGAGATACTGCCATGGTTTGGGGTTTTTTTTCAGTGTAGACCCAGTTATACTCAAGAGGATACACTCGTGCCGAATGTCTCCCCATTGGTCTGCGTTGTTCACAGGGTTACTGAATGCCTCAGGGGAGTGTGGGGCTGAATGAGGTGAGATTTCGTCTCCTCAGCAAGTTTACCGCACCCGGGAACTGAAACACCGACACAGATGGGAAACTCTGTAGGGCACCTTTTCCTTACACGTGTGTACAGCACCTGGCACAATGGGGCTCGGTTTCCAGGCTGAGGCCTCTCAGCACTATCCCAATGCAAACTAAAAAGAATAACATTAGGAGCCCGGCTGCGGAGTAAATATCTGTGAGGCTGTATTGCCTTTTCGCACTCCTAAGGCCTCTCCCTGTGAGTGGCGTTCAGTAGCTAGCTTGTATTCATAGTGACTGCGGACTGTTCAATGTTCAGCCAGAAAGCAGGTGAAGTTGACTTGTCTGGCCAGGGTGACCCTCTTGCGTAGCCGGTGAAGGTACTCCAGGCACTAATGGACTCCCCGGGGTGGATACAGCCTCCTAAGGGAAGCAGTGGAGGGTTCATTGCTTGGGTTGTTTAAAACGAGACTGGGCCGAGCAGTGGGGAATGTACCGTAGTGATCAGTTCTGCAGTGGCTGAGGGATCATGGTCTAGGAGGGATCGAAAATGGCTTTTCTATCTCTCATTCCCACGACGCAGGAACAGTTTCTTTTTTCCCAAGTCTGAAGAGAAAGAGTTAACTCTGTCTGCCAGCAATGGGCGGGGAGGACAAAGTGGAAGCAGAGATTCCCAGATGAACTGTGAGACCCCCCTGCGGGGAGGAGCCAAGTTCTCTCACCGTGGCTATAAATCCACCAAAGGCAGGCCGCTGCGGGTGAGTGTGTGGACCTCACACAGCCCGTGAGGGACAGCGAGATCCTAGGAAAGGAAGGGAGCATTGCAGGATTCTGGTGAGTTCGCCCACGGAGTCCGATTCGTGTGGGCAAAGGAATTGTGCTGTACTGTAGCCAGAGACGGGTCTGAAGCAGAACCTCAGATCCAAACACACCCACATTCTGGGCAAGTTCAAAACCTGATCCAAATTCTGCTGCTGTATATTTGAATTTCCTGTTTCATCTGCGGATTCGTATTGTGCCCCACCTGATCACACTTGGGTGCCTATCGCTAGGCAGCTATGGTCTATATTTAGAATGAATGATCTGGTTTTCACCTAAACGACTAACGTGGTTTTCACCTAAACAAGTGATCTGGTTTTCAATGGGAGCTGATGGGTGTTCAGCACCTCCTAAGAATCAAGCTCTGTGCTGAAGCGTGGATGAAGGCAAATACTTTCAACACCCAAGACTGAGGATGTGGTGCTGAGTGGCTCTTTAGACGTTTCACAGGCAGATGACCTCTCTTGACTTCAACTATGGTCCTAGTTCCTTTCTGTTAAGGTGCCTGGATTCTGAAAGGGGTAATGGAATGCAGTTTCTGTGCAAGAGACTATGCGTATTACGTTTGAGTCTTGCTTTTTAAAAAAATCTGGCCTTCCTATCTGAAGGCATAATTTGCACCTGGAAATAACTGTCCTCACAAATCAGGTGTGTAGCAGCCTCCGTGCCCACATTCCTGCTGGCAGATCCTTGTGGGTGCAAACAAAGGTGGAAATCCCTAAGAGCTAATGATGGGATGGAGCCAGGATCCATGTGTTAAAATTTGTCCACCAAATGATTGGCAAGTTTGGGGGGATTTTGTACATTCTCTAGATACTGAGAATTATTGTCCTTCAGATAGCACTCAGAATGTGCAAGGCACTGTACACACACACACACACACACACACACACGCGCACGTGCACACACAGATACTTTTCTTTATTAACATTAAGCTCTGTAACATACGGAGGGGGAGATAAAGGAATTCAAACCAAAATATGGACCATTTTTTTCCTGCATTATATGCATCTGTTATGTTAAATACATGCACATCAAATCTACCCGATGGTCCATTGTTCCTTGGCCAAGCGGGTCTTGAGGATGGCTACGAAGCAGGAATGGGGAACGGGCCGGTTCAGGGGGGCTGTTCTATACTAGGGAGGCAGCGTGGGAGACGCAGACAGGTGGGTGCTCCATCCCTGGCAGAGTGGAGGGGAGAGGGGACAACACAAGAAGAGAACTGAGTGGATCAGTAAGGAGGTGGAGCTGTGAAGGGCGCTGAGGATGAGGACAAGGAGCCTGTGGAGGGATTTCGGTCTTTGGGTGTACGAGAAGGGGCATGTGGACCAGAGTGGAGGAGGTTGCCGGAACCAAGGCTGGAGATGACGAGGGGCTGGAGATGGAGGAGAGTTTTGTTGTGTAGATAGAAGGGTCGGATCTTAGGAACAAGATGGAGAGTGACGTGACAGGACTTGGACACGCCCTGCACACGCAGGTCAGAGGGGTCAAAGACGTCTAACAGGTTGTAGCCCTGAGTGACTGCGAGGCTGGAGGTGTTGTCAGCAGTGATAGAGATCGGGCAGAGGAGAGGGCTTGTAACAAAGGCAATGAGTTCACCCCCCTCCCCTCCCTACTCCCCAGCGTAAGAGAGGGTAGGCTGGGGTCAGGGGGCTTCCCTTGGAATTCAGTCTCTACTCAACCTTGGTCAGAAATACCCTAACCATGCTGCAAAGCCCATATCTACCGTCCTAACTTCTCACCTGGGCAACTGTAGGAGTCATGGGGCAGTCACTGTCTGAGGGAGGGAAGGGTTTAGCTAATTTCTAGACTATCTGGTTTTGGCTTGATATGTTTTGTGGGCTGGGGCCAATCTGGGTTGATCTTGCACAAGTGCCTAACGCTCCAAAATAGCAAAATAAATTATTTGAAATCTGAAAGCTGCAGATGAAAATGGAGTATGAAGTTCATCGTGTCTCCCCCAAGCACTCAGGTACCATGGTGATGGCACTGAAAGAAACGCTCATGATAACACAAAAGGTAATGCAAAGGTATGCAGGGAAAATTGGAAAGTCTTCTGAAGAAAAGGGTTGGCGTCACAGATCTGATGTGTAGAGCCAACTCCAAACGTGACAGAAGTGGACACAGTGCCTGTTGAAATAATAGACTGGTAGATTTTTAAGGCAAGGAGGGTCCATTATGGCCATCTAGCCTGACCTCCTGCATATCACAGGCCAAAGATCCCACCCGATGATTCTTGCATGCAGCCCAGTAACTTGTGGTTGAGCTAGAACATCTCTCTGAGAACATCCAATCTCTATTGAGAGACCCTAAGCCATGGAGAACTTACTACAGCTACTGATGGTTCTCTGGAACTGGTTAATTCCAGCTTAGTTCCGGTTGCATCTTATTCAGTTTGCACTCTGAATTCTTCAACTTCCAGCTACTAGAACTTGTTCTGCCTTTGCCTGCCAGATTCAAAAGTCCTCCGGTAGCTTTGTACTTAGTCCCCTCGATCCAGGCTTTCGTTAATTTGAGCTCCTCAATATTTACCACCCAACCAATGTTTCTATCAGCTCCAGACCTTGCCATCCATTCCCAAAGGAGTTGCACCCCGTGAGCCAGAGTGGAGTGAGGCATTTCACATGTGTGTAGTGTCTGTTCACCATCTCATACGTTTTATTGACAGGACAAACGTTGATGTGAAACTTGCAGAGGATGCTCTTCCAGGGCAACCTGTCAGCTCCCAATGGCTCAGGCTCTGATCCGTCCGTGTTCTTCCTGATGGGCATCCCGGGGCTGGAAGCTCTGCACCCCTGGATCTCCATCCCCTTCTGCTCGATGTTCACCATGGCCCTTCTAGGAAACTGCACCCTCTTGTATGTTATCAAGACAGAGCCCTTCCTACACAAGCCCATGTTCTATTTCCTCGCCATGCTGGCCGTCATCGACCTGGTTTTATCCACCACCACCGTGCCGAAAATACTGAGCATCTTCTGGTTTAATTCCAGGGAGATCAGCTTTAATGCCTGCCTGGTGCAGATGTTTTTTCTTCACTCGTTCTCCACTCTGGAGTCTACTCTGCTGCTGGCCATGGCCTTCGACAGGTACGTGGCCATCTGCAACCCCCTGCGGTACGCCACCATCCTGACCAATTCAGTGATAGCAAAGATCGGGCTGGCGACTTTGGCCCGGGCTGTTCTGCTAACGTTCCCTCTGCCCTTCCTCGTCAGGAGGCTGCCCTACTGCGGGTCACACATCATCTCCCATTGCTACTGTGAGCACATGGCCGTGGTGAAGCTGGCCTGTGCCGACACCAGGTTCAATAATGTCTATGGGATCATCGTAACTGTCTTCATCGTGGGGCTGGATCTGATGTTCATCTCCCTATCGTATGTCAAGATCCTAAGGGCTGTCTTAAGCCTGGCATCCAAGGAAGAGCAGCTCAAGGCTTTCGGCACTTGTGTTTCCCACCTTTGTGCCATCTTAGTATTCTACATCCCCGTGGTCCTCTCCTCAACAGTACACAGGTTTGGGCGCCATGTCACCCCACACGTACACATCCTGCTGGCCAATTTCTACCTCCTCTTTCCTCCCATGATGAACCCCATCGTGTACGGTGTGAAAACCAAACAGATTCGTGACCGGGTGCTTCTCCTGTTCCGAGGGAAAAGCTTCTAGGCTGACCAGGAGGGGGCTGCTGAGCGATCAGGAAGCAGAGGATGCAGGAGAGGTTTTCTGAGTAACCGAGACAGCATGTTTGTGGGGGCTTTGTGTACGCTGGGATGGGAACTGTATCTGCCCCTGACGTTCTGTCCGCTCTGAGATGCAGCAACACAGCAAGGGCCATTTAGGCACCAGAATAAGTGCTGAGTGCTGGGCTCTTCTGTCCCAAACGGGCCACCATTGCTGGGTGCCAACTTTTTTTGTGTGTGTGTAAATCTGGCCTTAGTTGTGGTTTCTGAACATTTCAGAGTCTATCCCCAGTGGTTTAACCCTACCACACAGCAGCACAATGCACCAGGTCAAGAGAGGGGGGCGAGGAAAGGTGTCAAAGAGCACTTCGAAACTCCCCAAATCCTTACCAGAGTGATCTGAGGCACAAAGTATTCACAGTTCACTTTCTAATACTGACTATAAATATGAAACAGAGTATTGTGTGTGTGTGTGTGTGTGAATAAAATACTTGGGAAAAGTATTGCTATCACCTTGCTCTACTTTGCTATCGCCTTTGTTCCTGTTGCCTAATATATGCTGGATATCATATAGATATATATCACATTCGTAATCTGTATTTTCTGCACTGTATATATATATATATATATATATATATATACTAGTAGTACGCATTAAGTATCAATAGCATTAACCACAAATATTGTAGCAAAAGAACTAGATAAGTTTAAAAAAAATAGATATGTTCATGGAGGACAGGTCCATCAGTGGCTATTAGCCAGGATGGGCAGGAATGGTGTCCCTAGCCTCTGTTTGCTAGAAGCTGGGAATGGGTGACAGGGGATGAATCACTTAGAATCATAGAATAATAGGGGTTGGAAGAGACCTCAGGAGGTCTGTGACATTATTGTCACCAACTGTGACAGTATAGACCATTGTTGCAACCAAGCTCCTGTAGTCACACCAAATCTTGTACAAAGGAGGTCAAGTAAGGTGTCTATGAGGAGGTTATGATTTGCTGGTTATGTTTATGCTATCTGTATGCATGTATCATTTTTGTATTTAAAGTTATAAGTATTGGCTCTATACTGTCTGTAATTCAAACTTGTGCTATGCTTCTGGGTGACACCCCAGGCAATGGGCAATGTGGCGTCAGCAATGCCTAGCCTGCTGGATGGCCCATTAAGGACCATCAGCTATACAATTGACCCATTGAGAGAAGGCAGATACACCTTGTGACTGAGCAAGGTGTGCAGGGACATGCCTATGGACAGAACGCTAAGGGTTTTTCATGCCATGTGCTGGACAGCTTGTCCTTGGGACAAAGAAAGCAGAGGCCACATGGCAAGAAACTATAAAAGGCTGATGCCTCATCTCCATCTTGTCTTCAATCCTGCTTCTTACTTCTGGAGGAACCTTGCTACAAACTGAAGCACTGAACAAAGGACTGAGGACCCATCCCAGCGGGGGATGTATTCCAGAGACTTGATTTAAACCTGCAGTTTATTCAATCACTGCTACAAGCCTGAACCAAGAACTTTGCCATTACTGTATGTTATTGACTCCATTTAACCAATTCTAGCTCTCATCTATATCTTTTTCCTTTCATGAATAAACATTTAGCTTTTAGATTCTAAATGATTGGCAACAGCGTGATTTGTGGGTAATATCTAACTTGTATATTGATCTGGGTGTAGGGCTTGGTCCTTTGGGATTGGGAGAAATTTTTTCTTTTACTGGGGTGTTGGTTTTCATAACCATTCGTCCTCATAACGAGGGCACTGGTGGTGATACTGGGAAACTGGAGTGTCTCAGGGAATTGCTTGTCAGACTTATGGTTAGCCAGTGGGATGAGACCGAAGTCCTCTCTGCTTGGCTGCTTTGGTGTGCCTGAGAGGTGGAGAACCACCAGCCTGGGGCTGTGACAGCCCTGCTCTAAGCAATTTGTCCTGAATTGGTACTCTCAGTTGTGTCCCACCAGAGGCAGCATCATTACAAGGTCATCTAGTCCAATCCCCTGCTCAAAGCAGGACTTGATGAACCTGTTCTGTTCATTCCCTCTGGGGCACCTGGCATTGGCTGCTGTTGGAAGACAGGACACTGGGATAGATGGACCTTTGTTCTGACTCAGCATGGCTGTTCTTATGTTCTTAACAGTGATATAGTGGAAACTGGCCTGTACCATAATCCTGTTCATTCACTTATGCTTAATATCCCATAATACCTTGCATTAACTTAACTAAGCATTTGGCACAAGTAGATAGGAAACTTGTCAAAATGTGTCACTTGTAAAATCATATAAAGAATAGCAGCTGAAATTTGTAACGGGGGGAGCGCCCCGTCTGCGTAAGGTGAATGCAGTA